ATTATTTTATGTAAGGATCATCTTAACAAGTGATTGACCCCTTCAATTTATAAGATACTGTAAGCTTTTCCTCCATGCTACAATTAATATGTCAAGGTTTTGTGGTAAAGTCCCTCAGTTCATTAAAAATAAGTAAGTGAATCATAGTTACTGACTGCTGAACTCTAGGAACTAGAACACACCAAATTCAAGGAAATGTGAAACTATTCACACATAAACACACAAGAACCATGACATCCTAAAATCAGAAATCCACTGTTTTTGCCTGACAACTCCAGTAATTCCTACTCAATTCAAGATAAGCAGTATTACTATTGCATTATGGTACTGGTGTTGATGCATTTATTGAGACACCATAAAAAATAATTAGGGGAATAAATACATCTAACATTTGACCTAATGAAAAGCTTCCAAAAGTCTACAGTATAATTACATGGACACAAACCAAAAGGACAACTAAATTCATTAAGTCATGCAATTTCTTATATGTAAAATGTTATACCAATTTTTAGTCTATTGTAAAGAATTATTTGAGTAGAAACATAATAATCAAACTAGAATTTTTTTCACATTTAAAACTTCAAAAACAAACTTACATTCCTTAATTTACCATACACAAATTTAAAATGTACACACTACTTGATTCTGATTCTTAATTAGAAGGAAAACATAAAATTTAAAAATCACTAACATCTGACTAATAGTTAATTCTTTCCTTAGTAGTTGTCTGCCAATGCATGTATAGATTAAGCCATACAAGTTATGTGAAAATAATTACACAGTATTACCAATCTGATAATTGTATTTTCCTTACCACAGTTAACCATTTACATCTTTTAACATCTGAAAACATTTATTTTCAGGGATCTTATGAAAAAGGAGGCTGGCTAAAAAGCTCAGTAAGTATACATAATAAATATGGGTGAATCATTTACACATTCTTCTCCAAATCCAACAACATAAAACTTAAAAAAACAACGCAGTGCTAAAATCATTCAAAAGCAAGACTAAACTGATGGCACTCTCAATTACAAGATTTAAAAATCTCAGATTTATAAAACTGTTGAGCTAAAACATTCCTACTTCTTTCCAATCTTAGAAGGCTAGAAAATACTTATGCCTAATTTATCTGGGGCTAGTTTTAAATATCAGTAAGACACAGAATTATACTTAAGATCCTAATCAATGCAGAGGTCCCAATCAACAGTAGATAATAAAGAGACTCATGGTATTACTACACCAATACTAATTTTTGTTAGCATCCTCTACTGGTGGTTTCCAAAGATAGCAAGTGGAAATGGTACAAATGACATAAAGATATGTCCCTGCTAGTCCATTTAAAGTGGATTCATGAGCATGTGGTCATTAGTAGCCAGAGTCCAATCCCCACCCCCAACCTAAACATATAAATAAGAAAAACCACACAGTGTGCAAAATTAGAAAATGAGAAGACAAATTTTTTTTAAATACAACAGAACATTACATTATAAATGGTAAAAATCAATTTCAGCAATTCTAATGCAACTCCTTATAGATGACTAACATCATTACATAAAGTTACTACACAAGGTTTGATACCTTGGCCAAGCCTTGCTCAGTTGGTTTACCCTTGTCAAATTACATTACTTGATTTTCCCATTCATACTCTGCTGATATATTCCAGAAAGGAAATTAAAACGCTTTACTGGAGGCTCAGCAATAAAATCTGCTTACCTTATTTTATAATATAAAAATATTTACATATAAATAACATCATAAAGCATCTCTGTTTATCTCGCACTGTATACATCATGTATTCCTTCATTAAAAAGATTTAAGAGTCGACATTTCTCCAACCAATTCTCTCCCAAAAACTGCAACTTAATTATGACTGCGTTGCTAAGAAATATTAACCTGCACCTATCCTGAGGTTTCCCAACACAATGGCATATAGTTTCATTTTTTTTCAATTTGCAAATTATAAGGCTTAATCAAATAGCATGTCTGTAATTAAAAGTAATGGATGAAATGCATCCGAGAACAAAAAGAAATACAAGGAGAGAGCCAAAAGTGATGAAAATGGAAGATACCTGTAGTAATACAGTGCTATCTTAAACACCTTTTGTTTTCTGTGAGTAATGAATACTGCAGACAAGGCATTTGGTACTAAACAGCTCCAAATCTGTTTTCCTAATATTAAGCACAAAGGAAAAACACTAACAGCAAAGGTGGTAAATAAATCCCTCCCTTGAGAACGAAAGCAGAAGACAGGAGGGGGCTGACATACATGCAGGAGAAAACTAAACACCATCTTTTTTCTACCTGCACAAGTTGCCATTTGCTGCAGCGATCGAGAATCTCTTTTTCCTGTTGATTTCAAGTACCTTTCAGGATAGCTTTTCTCCCTTAAGTCATCTGTTGATATGCCTTACGAGTATAATAGTCATATCACAGGATCTTTAGGAGAAAAATCCATTCTTTCCTGTTCAGGTAAACATGTTTACAGCAGCTGCACAGACGCTGGGTGGTTCAGACTCACATGTCACACACATGTCGTCAGCAACAAGAAAAGCCCCTTTCTCTGGCGATGAACATTTTAAATAAGGCAACAAGCGAACAACCCTTTCAGAACCAACTTACCTTTCATAAAAGCCACATCAGCAACAGCGGCAACAGCTCAATATAGAACACATTATTTGACGCTAAAACAGGAAATTAAAATTGCAATAGCCTATGTAGGCTCCGCTCCTGGCTGTAACAAGTCATCTCTCCACAATGAGGACAGCAAATATCAGTTATCGATCACAACTAACAGACGTCCTTACACCACCAATGTTTATTTGAACCACCAAAGCGATTTATGAAAACAGTGATTTTAATGCCGACTCAGATACACACGAAAAAAAAAAATAATAACGTTTACGATTGCAAAGAAACCTCTTGAAACAGCTTACAATCTTCGTACTTGCTTCTAGACAGGAAATCCCACACAAAATCTAAAATTGCCAGGAAAGGTTACAAAACCTCGCGTTTCGCATCCCAGAGGGAGGGGGGGGGAGTCTGGAGCGGGGGGTGGGGCGGGAGGAGGGCGCGAGAGTTTCTCCTCCAACACACATGTCCTCCTCCTCACGCCACGGCCATCCCGTTATTGGCGCCTCTCATTTCCCCACTCTGGAGAAACTCGCTTCCAAAAGAACGCAGGGACCCCCGGGAGCCCCTGGGTCCGACATGGACGTGTAATTCCTTATATAGCCTGGGCTGCAGCCCGCGGCAGGGCCGTCGCCGCCCATTATTATACAAACAGGTACCCGGCCGCGCGGGCGGGGGGCCTCTCCCGGCTCCCTCCCGCCGCCCCCGGGCGCCGGAGTCTCGCCCCTCTCGCCACAGGAACTGTCCAGACAATAACAAGCCGCGGACCTCTCGCCGCCGCGCTGGAGGGGAGGCGAGCGCGGAGCCGACCCCGCGAGCAGCAGAAATCCACATCAACTTCCACCGTCTCTCCCAACTGGAAAAGGCAAGGCGACCGTGCCACACACCGCCACATGCTCGGCTCTCTCCTCCTCCGCCGCCGCTATTATCATCATCATTATTATTATTATTTTTTAATTAAGTCTCACGCCAGAGGGTTGTGTATTTCGTCGGCGCCCGGGCACCAATCAATAACCCCCGGCGCTGCAGCCCCGCGAGTCCGTCGGTCCGTCCGCCCCCCTCCCCCACCCTCTTTCCACCCGCGACCTCGAGCGCCATCCCAGCTCCATTATCCAGCTTCAGCGCTCCGTGCGTCCGGCCCAGGTAACAACTTCCCCAAAAACCGAAAGAGAAAAAAAAAAAAAAAAAAAAAAAAAAAGAAAGGCACAAGCACAAGCACAGAACCCCAGCCCCGCGCGGGAAGGGGGGCTCCGTCTGTGGAGCTTCCCCGTGTCCACGACCAGGTTAACAACTCCACAAACACACCCGCTGCCCGGCTCGCCGCCATCCGCAGCTCTCCCACAGCAGCAAGTAGGTGCCGTTGCTGCCCCTCCGCCGGCGCCCCGCGCGACGCGGACCGCACTCGGGGCTCGCCTCGGCGCCCCTCCGCAGCCCGGGGGGGCCCGGCGGCGGCGAGGAGGGGCGCTGAGGGACCCGCGCGTCCGCGACTCCCCGCTCCGCGGACGCGCCTCGCCGGCCGGTCCCAACTTTACCGCGGCCGGGGGCGCCCGGTCCGCCCGAGCGCGCCCCGCCGGCGCCCGCGCACACGCGCGCACGGACGCCTCACGCCGCCCGCGGCCCCGCCGCCGCCTCCCGCCGCGCGCCTCAGCCCGGCCCGGCCCGGCCCGGCCCGAGCCGCGGGGCCCGAGCGCCGGCGCCGGCCGGGGCCGCGGCGCGCGGAAGCCACTTTGCACGGCCGGCGCCGGCACAAGTTAGTTAGTTCCCGGCGCCCGGGGCCTCCACGGCCGGGAGAGCCGCGCTGAGGCGGCGGGGGACGGAGAGGCGCCGGGGGGCAGAAGAGTGGGGAAAAGTGCGGAAAGAAGCAACAGCCGCGCCACCCGGGGCCAGAAAAGTGGCCGGGCGCGTCCCGGCCGCCCGCTCTGCGCCGGGATGCGGCGGCGGCGCGGCGCGGCTAACGGTCCAGGGAGGCGGCAGGGGCGGCAGGAGCCGCTAGGCGGAGAGAGACCAGGTAAGAGACATAACGGTTCAGGGAGAGCGAGCGGCCGCGGCGCGGCTCCGGCAGCGGCGGCGGCGGAGGGGGCAGAGAGCACTACTTTCTACTTTCCCACTCCACTTTGCCCGTCCCTGCCCCGGCCGCCCCCAGCCCGGCTCGCCCCCCTCACCCCCGGGACGCCCCGGCTGTCCGACTCCCCCTGAGTCCGCCGCTCCCGGGTCCCTCCGCCACTCACCGTTATTGCGCCGCGGGTTCGCCTGCTTTCTGCGCTTACACCTGGGGCCATCCGCCATGATCCTCTCGCTTGTGTCTAAATGCTCGAGTCACCTCCTCCCCCTCCCTCCCCTTTCCCCCCCCGTCCGCCTCCACCCCTCCCCCCTCCCCACCGCACCTGGTTTACGACACTCGCGGCTTTACGACATCACCTTCCTTACACCTAGAGGCGCTCGCTCTACGGCCGGAACCTTGTTGCTAGGGAGAGGACGGTTTGCGGCAGTGTAGAAGCAGCTGAATTTGAATTGAGGGGGAGAGGGAAAAGTTTCCCTCAGGTGTCGTGGGGCGGGGAGGGGCGCGTGGGGGGGCGCGGGCCGGGGCGCGGGCAGGAGGACGACAAGGCGGGCGCAGCGGGAAAGGTAAAGGAGGCGGCTCGGTGGCATTCTGCCTCGGGACTGGCCACACCCGCCGCGGCCGCCTGGGGGACGTGATGGGGTCTGGCTGCAGCGCCCCACGACCCCGCGCGCTCGGAGCTGCCCCCCCCCCAGGGGCACGGGAGCAACCTGGCTGCCCTCATCCTCGCGGCTGGGCTCCGCTCCCGGGCTGGGGTGGTCCGTCCAGCGCGCCCCGGGGTGCTGGGGAGGGTCGTGCTCTCGGGGCTGCGCTGGGAGTTCCCGTGATGAAATTAGGGGAAGGGCAAGTTCGGGGAACAGCGAGGGACCGAGTGGGGAAACGGCCTCTGACGGCCAGGACACGCGGCGTCACGGGAGAGGCTACCTGACCGCCGCGGCTCTGACTCTCTTCCCTTCCCCAGACGCGTGGTTTTCCCCGAGCGAACCGGGTTGGGAAGTCGCTTCGGTAGAACTTAAGCTGAGCCGAGACCGAGGCTACAAGTTCCGCTTCTAAGCAACCGTGGCGGTAAAGCAGAATGAGTAATACCCACATTGTCCCTGTCTCACTTCCTCATCCGCACCGGGCCCTCACCTGCTGTCACCTCGGCCTCCCCCACCCCACCCTCACCCCCACCCCGCGTGGCGGAGCTGCTCCCCGGCCGCTCCCTGCTCTCCCCTCTGAATAGACAGGGGAGATCCGAGGGGTCAGGACTTTGAGTTAAGGGTTTAGGAGGCCATGATTTACTACCTAAATGGGCAGTTATCGCTGTATAGGACCCTAAGATGGACAGATGTGGCTTTTGAGACTGATAGATTGTGTTGATCTTATCTCAAGTCCTTGACTTTGTACACGTTTGGGGGTTTCTGAAAGGTCAGAAAATCAAGTGTTAGGTATTCAGTGGGATTTAGCTTTCTCCTAAAATGAGAAGATGCCCCTTCAAATGAGAAAATGTCTTTGGGACCAACTTTATGAAGTAAATGAGCTGAACTGTATGTCAGATAATATAAACTAACCGTGTAAAAGTCACTGATAGAGAAATTGAGAAAACTGAAAGGTGACATAGAGTATTAGAAATCACGTTGTAAGTTGCCCGGCACAGTGCTGTCTTATTGTAGGTGCTCAATAAATGTACACCTGTAATTTGTGCCATACCTGTAGTGAGTCTTTATTAAAATTATCTTTTAAGCATGCTCGAGAATTTTAGGAGATTCATCAATAATCTGTTCAAACCTTTCAACTGAAATAAATTTGCGGTTGAAATCTGGTAATTTAAAATTTGAAAGTTTAACCCTGAATATAGATGAAATTTTTGCTCCCACATTTGCTTTGGCATTTCAAAAAGTGAAATCTTTATTAATTGGTGCATGAAATGAACTAAATAATCTTTGTTGTGCATAATGACTACATACACACACTCACACTCACACACTCTTATCCTCAATGCCAGAAGTAGAGTCGTTCTTGCTATCATTTTAAGTAGAGGCAGTCCTAGCTATCCTCAATACCATGTTAACTAAACTTGCAGAATGGTGTCCATGCTTTACTTGTTTGAAATGGTAATTTCTCCTACCCTAGAACTATGTAATGTTTAGTTGCTTTCTGAATCAGGTTATAGACTCTATTTTACTAGCAATTCCCTCCCCACCCCCAAAACCATTTTTTTTTTTACAACTATTCTACTCTCCAGTCAGAAAGGAATAATACTTTTTAGCATACATTTAACCTACTCTGAAACTTAGAAAAGTGTTACACATACAATTTTTTTTTTTGAATGCTTGTCCTGTAGCTCCCTACTAAACTTCCTTCATTGTTTATCCTCACCTCAAAATCAGACACAATGAAAGGACAAATTCAATGGAAGTCATTCTCTTCCTTATTTTAATGGTTACTAGTTTAGTTATCTTGTCCATATTTTATAAATTTTCCCTTTTTTTGATTGTCCTCCAGCCCTCACAGAATCCCTCGTCGCAAAGTAGATTCAATAAGCAAGTATTTAAGTAAATTAATGTTGAGCATTTCTGAATCTGACATTAACTTTAAAGGGAGGATTGTTTACCTGCCTTCATCACATTAGTTCTTGGGAACAGTTAATAACATAGATGCAAAAGCCATTTACTGTCATTTGTATCCTACGTAATTTTGAGACTAATTGCTTTGGATTTTAAATTCTTCATAATCATTTTTCCTAAATGACTAACTCTGCTCTTTCTTATTTTTAAAATATGCAGGGAAATATTAATGATCTAAAATATTCCACTATAGAACTTCAATTTGTAAAATCCTGTAATAAGTATATATTATAAATTGAATATTTGATTAGTAAGCTTTATTTATTCTAATGTTCCCAAAATTATTGAAATATAGACTGGAAAGAAAGTAGACAAAAGTAAATGTTAGAATAATTATAGCTTTAAACCTGATGCATATGTGATGCTTGCTTCTTATTTCTCATAGCTACAAATTGGGAAAGGTCTTTAGCATAAATTTGAAAAGAATAAATTTATTAAAACTTGGGTTTATTTAAATCAGACACGATGGGGCTACTAATAAGAGTTTAACATGTATTCTGTATTGTGGGGTTTTAGTAATAAAATTTAATGGCATCACACACCATATACTCAATATATACTCATTTTTTTTTAAAGGTTTATTTACTTATGCATATAAGAACTGGGATGTAGGCTAGAGGTGCCAGGGCTTAGAGGATTCACCAGAGACAGAGTGGGGCGCAGAACAGGCAGATCTACTGAAATACACTGCTGAGGGGAACAGCAGGCAAGACAGGAGAGGTCTGTAGCTCCTTGTGGATTAGGTCCCTGGCCAGCTGGCCTGGATTCAACCTCCTGCTGTAGTGGGTGAAGATAGCTTGATAGTACTGCGTCTTTAACCCCTACGCCACCAGGGAGGCCCCTATATTCTTATTTTTAATGTTAATGAAATGATAACTTTGCATCTAGTGAGCACTGGGATTGCAAATAGTGAGAGATGCTCTGCTAAAGCTGAATTACTATACCTTTTTCTCAATTTTCAGAAAAAACTAAATGGGTAAAATATTTTCAGTATTGAGTTATTTCTATAAATTTTTCATGAACCCCATTGAAGTCATATGTTACATGTGTTCTGTGTAAGACATGTCGTTAGCATGATTTTCATGTTCATCACTTTTGACACATTTGGGAAGTTCATACATATATAGTAATTCTCTAATCTTCATCAAAATAAAAAGTTGCCTGTTTTCATGGAAGGATAATGTATTTTTAATTAAGCTAGTTATATTAACATGTGGTTTTAATCTTAGCACTTTGAAGAAAAAAAATTAATACATGTTATCCATCAAAGTACAGAATTTGAAAGTCCCTTAAGTTTCTCCACAGTCCTTGGCTCAAAAGCGACTCTGGATATCTAGCTCACTATGAAACAAGAGAGGGCAATAGTGATTTCACTGCTGCAGTTTCTCCAAATTTCCTATCATTGCTGAGTCAGCAAGAAAACATGAAGACAGGGTGTGATGCAGAACCAATGTTTTATCTTTAGGACCCACACCATCTTTTGTAATAAAGTCTCCTGGTAGTTATATTATAATAGGGGCCAAACCTTCATATGATACTACACCACAAAATAGTTTTAGAGATTAAGGCTCCTATTTTTAATATGTCGATGAAATGATAACCCACCGAGCTGTTTGTTTGGAAGGGGAGCATTTTTCAAGAATACTTCTAGTATAGAACAGTGTGAGTATAAATAAATGTTGAAAGAAATATTTGAAGGATGTTAATAAACATCCAAAAAGTAAAATTAACTTTCTTCATAAAATTCAGTTAGTAAAACAAATTACTTTCAAAGAGCCTTCCACAGAAGATGGTTTATGTCATTGATATCACTTGTGAATAGCATTTTTTTAAATGTAAGAATTATAGGTAGGTAATTTGTATGAGAGAGCAACGTACATATTTTGGATTTAAGTGAATTTTAAGTATTTACCATATTAAATGTCTAGTTTCTACTGCTAGTTGTTTTTGTCTCTATATCTTTTCCCTGGTATCTCAACTTTGATCAGCTGACGGATTCTTCTTCAGAATGTGGCTGTTCTTTGTCCTACAGACCTGGCCTTCTGTATTCCATAATCCTCAGTTACAGTCACTACCACTGTTCACTCCTTGGGGTATATATGTTTCAAATATTTTCAGTCAATAGCAGATGGTAATTAGATGTCCTACTATTGTGTGAAACTCACATGAAAAAATTGGTACTGAAAAATACATTTGTTCAACTATATCCACACTTTAAAATCCCAGGTCAGACCCTTCTCATTCTTTCATCTCATGCTTCTATTCCTTTGCTCACTGTCTTTATCCTGCTTACATAAATAGATCATGCACTGTGCCTCTTTCTACTGTTTTACTTTTTAATCATTCTCTTCATCTTTCTTTGTCCCAGGTCTGACACAAATTATGTTTGGGTCAGTTCCTTTCCTCTTTTATTCAAGTTTTGTGTTCTTCTTCTTTTTTTTTTTTAATCATTTCAACTCTGTAAAATTCTGTGGACCACATCACCCAAGGCTTCTTTACCCTCTGGTTTCTATTTGGTTTCAGCCAATTTGGAGGCATTGGCAAATGATCAGAGGGAGTAAAGAGAGAGGTCAGGATATTTATTTCACCTTCCCCCAACTTCCCCCTGCTTGTCTGTGGCTTTTGGCATTAGCTTCATTCCTCTACCTAAGGCCATAGTTGTAGTCAGCCAACCCTTTTCCATGACTATGGGTCTTGGCAAGTTCCAGAAACTCCTTCCCTTTGTCCCTTCAGGCCTAGGGATGGTAATGGTTTCCTCCTGTTGCAAATACTTGGGTACTTTATCCTTTACTGATTCCCTTAAAACTTGCCCACACCTTTGTGTAGTCTTTTCATCATACTTTCTTTAACTTACCCTTTGAGTGTACCATCTCTTTCCTGCCAGGCCTCTGAATAATAACATATATAAATAAAATATACCTTCTAACCTTGTTTTTTATCAACCAAAAAATCTGTTCCCACTAATTACAACACTAAAATATCAATGTGATATCAGTGTATTATATCATTTGTTGATCAAGTATAGACTCATGTTCTGATGAAATACACATGCAAAATCTGACAAATACTTAGAAATATGCCAGAGCCTACTACATAGTAGTTGTTCAGTAACTCTATGTGGAATGAAGGCCCCTGCCCTGATTTAAAATATAGGAGAGGCTGCTTTTATAGACTGAAAACAAGTGGGGAGCAGCGGGAAATCACACTACTAAGGCATTAACATGGAGGTAACTGGTAGCCTTCAAAGTGTTCTTCCCTTTTTTAATAATAGAATTCTGCATTCTTATCACATGGCCACTTGAATGGTTCTTGCTTGTACCTAGGTACTACTGACCTGCATGATTCTGACCAATGAGAAATAAGTGGCAGTGATAAGTGCAACTTGGATGAAGTCCTTCAAAAGAAGATAGTTCATCATTCTTTCTCTTCTAACTGATGGGTAGTGCCAGACCTGTTGACTAGAGGGTTATAAGATTAAGGAAGACAGAGCAACAAGATTGAAGAAAACCGAGTCTATGGACTGCCTACCTCCAGATCTCTTTTGTAGAGAAAGAAATAAATATATATTTTTAAGCCACCTTTTCTTAGTTTTTTTTTCCTCATGCAAAGTTAATCCTGTTTGATGTAGGTATGTGTATTCATTTACTTTTGCTTCATAAAAAATTGCCACACACTTAGTGGCTTAAAATAACACAAATACATTACTTTATAATTCTGGAAGTCAGAAGTCAAAATGGGCTTCACCAGGCTAAAACCAAAGTTTAATCTCGATTGCATTCCTTCAGAAGCCTGTAGGGAGAATCTATTCCTTGCCTTTTCCAGTTTCTAGACACTGGCCGTATTTCTTTGCTAAAGCACCTCTTCATCTTCCTGCCAGCAATAGCAGGTAGATTCCTTATGCTGCCAGCTCACTATTTCTATTTCTGCCTCCCATTTATAAGGGAATATTTGTTACATTGTCAAGAAACACTTTGGCTATGTTAACTGTATTTGGGGAATTGTGCAATAAGTAAACACTACGTAAGGATAACACCACTGCAATGCATATAGATGGTATGTGGAACTTTTTAAAAATACAAGTTAAAAAAAATCAAATGGATAAAAGACATGGATATAAGACCTGAAACCATTAGATACAAAGAAAACAGGTGAAACACTTCAGGACATAAACATCAGTGATGTCTTTGAGGATTTATCTCCAGCAGGAAAACAAAAGGGAATATAAATAACTGAAACTACATCAAACTTTTTCTGCACAAAGAAACTAACCAAAACAAAGAGACACCCTATGAATGGGGGGAGATATTTGCACACTATACATTTGACAAGGTTCTCATATCAAAGATCTACGAAGAACTCATACAACTCAACAAAAAGAAAACTCAATCAAAAACTGGTTAGAAGAGCTAAATAGTCACTTCTCTAACGAAGGCAGATGGCCAACAGGCATATGAAAAAATGTTCATCATACTTATCATCAAGGAAATGCAAATCAAAACCACAATGAGATACTACCTCACACCTGTGAGAATGGCCCATATCAAAAAGCCCCGAAATAACAAGTGTTAGTGAGAGACAAAGGAACCTTCTTACACCGTTTGTGGGAATGTACACTCATCCAGTCCTTGTGGAAAGCAGTATGGAGGTTTCTCAAAAGATTAAAAATGTATTTGCCATACAACCCAGCAATTCTACTTCTAGCTCTCTGACAGAAGAATACAAAAACACTAATGTATGCACGCATATTAATTTTAGTCCTTTTTGTAATAATCAAGCTATTATATACAAAAAGCCTAAGTGTCCAAAAATGAATGAATGGTTCAAGAAGATATGGTATATTTATATGATGAAATACTACTCAGCAATCACAAAAGATAAGCCCATGCCATTTGTGGCAACATGGATAGAGCTGAAAGGGTTTATGCTAAGCAAAATAAGCCAGAAGGAGATAGATATTCGATGGTGTCACTTATGTGTGGAATATAAAGAAACTAAACAGTCAGATGAAGATTAAACTTTTAAACCAACCCTTTAAATCTGATCATAGAATTGAGATATCCAGAGGGGGAGGAGAAGAGAGTGGGATGAGAACATAGCATGGTAGAATATGGTAGAAGACTATGGGTGCTTTGATTTTGGGTGCACTATTTGACTACAGCTGAAGGGAGAGAGCTCATGTTTCCAAAATACTAATAAGGATGTAAACTCATGGTACTGCAGTAAGAAAATAAAAATATAAGTTAAGGGTTATGAAAGAAATATAAAAACTGTCATAAGTTTTGGTTCTTGGTTCTTGGTTTGTGTGTAAAAGATACCTGGTCAAACCACCCTGAGCCAAAAAGACAGAAATTTGTAACAAGAATGATAGTTGTTTGTTTGTTTTCATAGAATCCCACAGTGGGAAAGCATCCTACTATCTCAAAAGTGAGGAGTTATACACTTTTATAAACATGAGAAGCACCTCTTCATTTCTAACCTCTCTTGTCACTCTGTATCTTTCATTTTCCAGGAGCAACCACTTCATATAAAGGTGCTATGACTCAAAAAAGGTATGAAGCAGCAGCTAAGTAAAAAGGCAACTTAAAGGACATTGTGTATAGTTTGCTACCATTTGTTATATACACAGACTTAGAAAACTCACAAGTGTAGACGAGTAGATTATCTGTGGAAGGGATCCCGATAGCAATGTTTGCCCCTAGGAAGGGGTTCTGGGAGGATAAACAACAGGATAATCAGAAAGACTTCTTTTGTACTGAAAATATTTGTACCTTTGGAATTAATTTTGTATTATGAACACAATTATCAATTCAAAAACATGAATAATGATAATTTAAAATAATGGCATCAAAGGGCTAGGTTATCCTCCTGAAAACCGTCTTGATTGTAAGGTTACACACTACAATAGTACTTATAAACTAGAAAGACTGTAATACTCAAAATCATGTAATACTCAAAATCATTTTTTTTATTTCAGCTCTATCCACTTTATCATGATTTTGAGTATTACAGTCTTTCTAATTCTATTTAGAACTGTAAGATTATAAGAGTATTACAGTCTTTCTAGTTCTATTTAGAACTGTAAGATTATAAGTCTATAAATCAACTTTTAGCCCTGCTAATGGGTTGAAGAATAGCAAGATCTGAAGGAATTTTAAATCCCTGTTAGGAGTATTTTCACATTTGATCTATATCTAAAAGCATATAATTCTGGCTAATTTTCCATTTTTCTGATTTTCTATGTAAATTTTTTTTAAAGATTTATTTATTTATACAAGAACTGGGGTACAGGCCAGATACACGGGAGGGTGAGAGGATTCACCAGAGACAGAGCGGGCAACAGAAAAGGCAGACTGACGAAATACACTGCTGAGGGGAGCAGCGGGTGAGACAGGCGAGGTCTGCTGCGCCGTGCGGGACCCTCGCTGGTCAGCCAGGATCGAACCGGCACTGCAGAGGCTAAGGCTAGCTTTCATAGTGTGGTTCTTAACCCCTTGCACCACCAGGGAGGCCCGCTATGGTAAATTCTTAATCTTACGTGGCTTTTCTTGCTCTCTTCTATCAAGACTGCCTTCATCTAGCAAAGGGTACTCAAAATGGACGAACAGTTTCAATACTAGCGAAAGAAAAATGAGTGAGTGATATTTGAAAGTTCACATTCAGCTCTTTACTATGGGTATAACCTTGGACAAATCTCGTAACTTCTTGAAACCTGAGTTTATTTTCTGCAAAATCAAACCTAATTTCCCTACATAATAGAGTTTTTGTGAATATCACCTGAGATCATGTAAGAGGAAGTTATTTTAAAAACTGTAAGACAAAATTTTCATGTTTTACTGTGTAGATATGCTATATCAATATAGAAATTCTTCCTAAAGTCAACTATTAATGAATTTTAAATAATTTTCTTAGAACTTCTATAATAGTCTTAGAACTTCTATATCAACTCACTTCATTAACATAAATTGAGTTGCTTACTTTTAATTTCTATTTTTCACCTTCTGATGGAGGTGCTTTTAAACAATGAAAATGTCAAAACAAATGCAAAAGCAAACAGAAAAGGCAGAGCAAAAGGAGGTCTCATATGGCATATCAAATATTTGATTATTGTAAGTATCTACCCTGACATCATTTTGAAAAAGACTTGTTTTTTATTTCTGGATTTTTTTGCAGCGTACTGACTTTTTTTTTTTTTTAATGACCAGTTTTGTCTCTGAAATTATCCACTTAGATTTTGGCCGAGATGTTCTACTGACTGTCAAATGTAGTTGAAATTAATCACATTTTTCTCTCTAGGTTATTTTATAAAGCATTCCTATTTTATATTCTTGCTCAATAGATTTAGATAATTATGTTTTACCTTCACTAACCATATTTTATTTATTGGGATAAGTCATTTCTCGTTATAGTGGCTTGTAAAGCATGTACCTGTGGAATCGGCATTATTCAACATGTTTTGCTATTATAACTAACAATTTTTATTAATGTTTTAAGTTAAGTAACTGTGTAATTTAGTCATTTTATGTACATTGAATAATTACTGTCATTAGATAAGTGTCTTTTCTCTTTAGTAACTCAACTTATTTCCTGAATCTACATATTTGATATTGGACTTCTAATTAGTAAAGTCACTAATAAATATCTGTCTCTATTTTTCAATAATGTCATAATGATATGAAATGTTTCTGGCAGGTATTTTCATTAGCTAACTGGTGACATTTTTAGTAAATGCTGGAAGTAACATATGAATGTAAAACAGCAAATGTTCAGCATATACTTTATAAATAGCAGAAGTGGTTAGCAGAAGAAATTATTCAATATTTTCTGCTAGAAGAAAAATATTAAAAACATTGACTATGATAAAATTTTAAATTCTTAAGGTGATTGTATAAATTGTTTATAGTTCCTCCCTATTTTTTTCCCTATGCCTATGGAAGTTATAGTAAATCAAGAAAATATAGGGTTTCCTTATTACCTAGCTTGCTCATATTTTTGTCCTCTCTTGAACTCACTCTCTAAACTTTGGGTAAGTTATGTACATAAATCAAACTGCTAAAAACCCACTTCGGGTGGTTTATGTTGTATTTAAAGCATGTCTCTATTGCATTTGCTCCCTTTCCATTGCTAGTCAGCATCAAACTGACCAAAAGGCTATCAGTCAGATAAAACTATTTGATGAAAAGAATTTGACAACCCATTAACTAGAAAAGCATTCCCTGAATAATTCAAAGTCAATTGAAACTTTCCTTGTCTATAAAATTATTGTGTAATTCAATTCATTTTTGCATTTCTCCTTTGTATAGCCTTGGAAAACATAGATCAGTAATGTAGCAGCAAAAGACATCATGATACCAAATGGGAAACGAGGATTTGGAAGATGCTTTGGAACTCTTAATTTCCAGACCAGTTGATAGCAGATACAGTTCATTACACAGGAAAATTGCTTGATCTTGGGAGAAAGAAGGTGCTGGAGGTGAGGGAAAATGAGTTAGTCACCAACACAGTTCACCTTGCAATTCAATCATTTAGATCTAACTAGGGGATGATTGCTGTCAGGTTCCACATAAAGAATGAAAGCTGCTTTCTACGATAAAATGGAAAATCGTGTATCTCCTTGTGTTTAGATTCTAGAATAAAGAAAGAGTAAAAGGGAAGGAGATATCTTATATATGTTAGTACACGCTTAGCAATTCTCATAAAAATGTATTGTTTGTAGAACCTTTATAATACGATATCACATGATATATTTTTCCATCTCATATGTTTATAAACAGATTCAAAGAGTCATACAGTTCATGTCATCTAGACAGTGATTCAAACCTAGATAAAAATTACAAATTCTGTGCTTAAATTTTATGTACTTGAATATAAAATCAAATTAATTGTTAAGTATAAATAATATTTTAATGTTCAGAAAAATTATGAGCAGAAATATTTTAGTGAATGTATAGTTATTCCTGTAAATTTTCTCATTATGTACAAAAATATGAATTACATAGTTCATTCTGTACTCCCTTTTCTCTAGTTGAATAGCTCCATAAACACAAAACATTCCCTCCTGCTCCTACTTTTCAGATCTTTTTTCTCACACCCCATCCCTCCCATTTGCCTTTTATTCTTCATTGCTTCCCATACTTTCTGACCACCCATCCCTAGTCATTTTTATTTCATAATCATTTGTTCTTTACCTTTTTCCCCATGCTGTATTATAAACAGCATTATGATAAAGATTATAGCTAATAACTTATTATAGTGATGAGCATATTTAGAAAGTATATATAATAATCTCTGCGATAACTATCATCTATAACTGGTAGGTAACGGGTCCTGATTGGAAACTGACATAGAAGTTATTGAAGTTTGGTTCAGAATACTTAAAACAATAACCTGAACCTAACCTAATGGGAAGCCAAAAGGCTATAAAAGTGGTAATTCTGTTTCAATGAGCTCCCTAGGATAAGCTATCTCATTTTAATTTTAGTACCATTACATATGGTATTAGTATTCCTGATTCTGAGACTCAGGAGGAAAGATTGATTTTTGGAACAAAAGTCTTTGACATGACTAGACAAAAGTACAAGTGGAAAGTGACAGTCACAAATTTATAACCACATCCAAACAACTTAAATTCTGAGTTAGAATATAGTATCTAGAATAGAAAGGGATCTAGATTGTCCATGAATGTCTGAACACATGATAAATAGTTTTTGTAGTTGCAGAGACAGAAAAGATCAAGAATGTATTTTTTCAGAGTGGATATCTCTAGTGGGGACTAAGAGTTGGGAGAAAATTCAGTATTACATTGATGCTGGAGTTACCCATAGACATAATAAACTGATTCTGTTTTTTCTCTTTAAATTTTATTATGCCTTTTTTCTTACCTCTGTGGATTCCCGTATCCTAATAATAAGATTATAATAATTATGTCAGAACCAAGGTGAGATTCCTGTAAGAATGAAGATAGTTACACACACACACACACACACACACCCCACACACACCCTCCACACAAGATGCAGTGACTGAAATTTGTAAAGAATAAGATGAAATAGGGGCTTCCCTAGTGGCACAGCAGGTTGAGTGCAGTGCTGTGACGCTGTCTGCAGCCTCTGCAACGTGGGTTCAATTCCCGGCTGGCCAGGGAGATACCCACATGGCACAGCAGACCTCTCCTGTCTCAACTCAGCAATGTATTTCAGTCAATCTGCCCGTTCTGTTCCCCACTCTGTTTCTGGTGAATCTTCTCACCCCCACCTCTGGCCTGTACCCTAGTTCTTATATGCATAAATACATAAATCTTTAAAAAAAATGAGATTAAAAAATTTTTGTTAATTGGTTATTTGAGTGAAATGATGATAATGATTAAAAAAATAAATTCTAATCATACTACCTAAGGGTGAAAAACTGAAAAGAATATAAGTATAGATACAGGTAATAATTGTCCACAAGGAAATGTCAACATTATTCACACAAAAAGAACCCCTTTTTGGGTCTCCCCAGTGGCACAGGGGTTAAAGACTTAGTGCTATCAAGCTATCTCCAGCCAGGGAGCTAACCGACATGGCACAGCAGACCTCTCCTGGCTCACCAGCTGCTGCCCTCAGCAGTGTATTACAGTAGATCTGCCTGTTCTGCTCCCCACTCTGTCTCTGGTGAATCCTCTCATCCCCTGCTCCTCTGGCCTACACCCCAGTTTTTCTGTGTATAAATAAATGAAAGTAAATCTTAAAAAAATCTTTGAAAAGTTATCCAAGCCATAATGAAGATCTTAGAACAAAAGAAATAGTGAAATATGGTTGTTCTTTCAGTACTGAGGGCAGTCAGTGTTGTAAAAGCATTACAGAAAATATTGCTGGATTATTTTTAGGAAACAACTTTGTGCCTAAGTAAGATAAAACTGAAATTAAATACTCAATCCAAGATGTCAAAACATGCTATTTAACCTTATCTTATAAACCTAACTTGGAATCAAAGGAGAGTGCCTAGTCTTCTTCAAGAGGAACACATGAGAAGAATTCATTGTATTCATTAATTTGACAAATATTTATTGATTTGCTTCTATGTGCCAGGCATTGTTCTAAGTTCTTGTTATACAGCAAAGAACCAGAGACGCAAAAATAGCTGCCTAGTAGAATGACTTACGTTCAAGTGGCATGAGACAAATAATCAACAAATATAATAAATGAGCAAATTATTGGATTTGTTAAAATAGGATTAGATTCTGTGGAAAAATAAGGCAGAGTAAGAGTGATTAAAGGGGCAGAGAGATCATGGTTTCCTCTTCTAAATCTGAAACTAAAATTCCAGTGCTCTGCAACAGGTTTTCAGAAGGCGCCACAGTATATTTGAGGAAGATGTTAGTGTCCCATAAATTATTGTTTGATTTTAACTGCTCAATTCTGGTTTGGTTCAAAGCAGGTGTCATAGAAGAAAGTAAGTTGTGGAATTTTTTTTAAAAAAATATTTTTTTTATGAATGCTATAATAAACAAAATCTGTGATGACTCCCATTAATTGAATTCTTAACACCTGTTCTTTTTGTTTTTCGTTTTGTTAAATGCAATTTTACTACTGTTTAAAAGCAAAATAATTGAACATATGTACATTTTCAGTTATAAAACATTTACATTCTTTTCATCAGTGTTAGTGATGATATAATTGTTTCTGTTTGTGTGTTTAAGAAAATAGGGATAATTTCTTTAACTTCCAAGAGTGAATAGCTCACCTGATTGCACATTGGGCTAAAGAATGTGAAGAAATTTACTAATTTAGGGAGAGGCTGGAGGCCTTAGGGGTTTGTCTTTTTTTTTTTTTTAAAGATTTATCCATCTATGCATACAAGAGCTGGGGTACAGGCCAGAGATTTGGGGGGGTGGTGAGAGGATTCACCAGAGACAGAGTGGGGAACAGAACAGGCAGACCGACTGAAATACACTGCTGAGGGGAGCAGCGGGTAAGTCAGCAGAGGTCTGCTGCGCCATGTGGGTTGCTCCCTGGCCAGCCAGGGGATCGAACTCATGCTGTAGAGGCTGCAGATTGCTTCATAGTGTGGTGCTTACCCAGTTTGTCTTTTTTTAAATTGAAGTAACAGTTTACAATACTGTATATGATTTAGGGGAATATGTTCACACCTATTCAGATGTATGTTACCACACCACACCCATGACCGCAGTACCCAGAGTCCTTTACTATAGACCATTGGCTCCCTCCTACCTTTGCTCCTCATTGTCAATCCCACCCGCCAGTATCCTCAGTTCTGCAGCTAAATTTCTAAGGTTTGCTTTGGTTTAGTTTTGCCTATTACTTTGTTTCTATATTCCATATATGAGTGAAGTCATCCAGTATTTGTTTCTTTCCTTCTGACTTATTTCACTTAGTATAATCCCCTCTAATTCCATCCATGTTGTTGCAAATGGAAAGATTTCACCCCATTTTATAGCTAAGTAGTATTCCATTGTGTGTATATACCATATCTTATCCATTCATCTGATGTTAGGCACTGAGGATGTTTCTATAATTTGGCCACTGTAAATATTGCTGCAATAAACATAGGAGTGTATATATGCCTTCAAATTAGTGTTTTTGCATTCCTTTGATAAATATAAGGAGTAGAATTGCTGGATCATATGGTATATCTATTTTAATTTTATTCAACTATGTTATCAATAACACTTCTGTTCAAGATTATGTATATACAGAAACTACTACCTCCTTTTCTCAAACCTTGAAAGATAATTCAGTAATGTATTATTAATTATAACAATATAGTTAAAGAGCTTTGAACTATACTAATTTTACCACTTAAAATCTTACTTGTTCCTCAGCAAGGTTTTTATGAAAGACTCAGATTGTTTTTACCAAGGTCATGGCATATGGAACCTACATGAATCCTACACTGTTCTTAAAAACATCTGAGATATTTAAATGACTTGGTTTAATTGTGATAACTGGAACAATTATTTCATGGAGCTTACCAAATCTTGATATTGTATTGTCTAGGTAAGTGCTTGTTGTAGAATGACTAAGCATCTCTCCTCTGGCTCCTGTTCTTGCTGCTCTACCCCAGCCAACAATTTAGCTCACCTCAACTCACCCTCTCCTTTCATCTCAGAATGGGAGCAGAACTGTCATAATCTGTAATAAAGAAAGCAACCAACTATGTATAAGAATCTTAGTTGGCTTATTTTTATGTTTACATTCACTTAGGATATAAACTGGAGGATTTTTTCAAAGTAACATATCTTTTATAAAATCTTAATAATTCATGATTTTTTAAGATTGAAAAAATCGCAAAGAAACTGATATTGTAAAAATTAATATTTCAAAGTTCATTTTTTATGCTTTGTAATTTAGGGATTGAGCCAAAATTTTAGAATACAAATTTTTTAAATGTTCTAATGTCAATACTCATGTTGTTACACAAGTTGAATTGCTAAACACTGAGTCATTTTAGTCCTTTACTGCATATTGATGAGTGTCCGAAACACTAACTGCCACAGACATTGTCTTAGGTTTCTCTTCCAGCTTGGTCATTAAGATTGCAAAAGAATAACCTGTCACATTTTGTTTTATGAAACAGTGACAATAAGACATTTATTATTTTTGAAATCTAAAGTTTTTCTTTCCTGTTGTTCCAAAATATTCTTAGAGGGACATATGTGTGCATGCACACACTTGTGTATGTGCAGACTGGTTAGGACTTGGTAAAGAAGTTTAATTGCACACTGAATAATGGGATGAAATTTAACATTGTTCAACAGGAGTGCTCTACCCCACTTCCAAGAGAAAAGCAATATATTATTAGTATAGTATCTCTAAAGATTGAAGCAACTCCCCAGGTAAGTAGACTTAGAACTCATTCCAGATTTTTATAGGTTTATTAGGATAGTTTTCCTTATTGCTCAAGACACTTTTATATTTTTGCATTTTTATATTTTCTTCTGGTTTTCTCTTTGACAGGCAATAAGGCAAAAGCCCCTTCTACTTGTATGCTGAATTCCATAACCCCTCATCCACTCAAGGAATGAAATTATCTCCCCTCTAAGATCCCCTTCAGTAATACAATGTGGTATATCATGTTTTTAGATCTAGTGATTATTTCTTAGTCCTCAGTACCCTGGCATATCAAATCCTCATAGGCAATCCTCTGTCGTCCTTGAAATATTTTCTGCACTTGGCCTTTAGCATATTTGCCTGGTTTCCCAAATACTTTTCAAGTTACTGCTTTTGGTCTCTCTTATTTGGTTATTGTCCTCCTCTCACCAGTCTTTAAACATTAAAGTCCCAGGTGTCGGTCTATGGATGTCTTTCCCTCCCTATACATGCCTCCCCTCCATGATCTTATCTATTTTCTTGGTCTTAATACTCATCTGTATGCCCATAGTTCACGAAGTCTCTGGTGTGGAAATAATCCATGAACTCTGGGCATATTTGGCCTCTCCATTTGGATGGTTAATAGGTATTGCAAACTCAAACTGCCCCAAACTGACGTTTTAGGTTCTGCCTCCCTCTCCCAACCTGCTCCTTCAGTTTCTTATTTCACATGATAGTGGTTCCAGCTTTCTAAAGACTCAAACCAAAATCTTGGAGTTATTCTTGACTCCCCATTTTTTTGTAAGCCATTCAAATTTTCAGAAAATTTGTATGTTCTGCTTTCAAGAACATCTAGAATTTGATCACTTTTCATCTGTTCACTTGCTACCATCTGGACCCAAACACCATTATCACTCACCTGGACTATTTCCCTCACTGGGTTTCCCTATTTTTGCCATTTTTCCCTTCAGCCTGTTCAGTGGAACAAGTCAGAATACTCTCATATGTATGCATTCAAAAACTCAATATTGTAAAGATATCAGAGTTTAATGTACCCAAGAAACATATGCAAGGAAATTTCCAGCAGGCTTTTATGAAAATTGACCATCTGATTCTAAAATTTATATGGAAATACCGAGGGCCATGAATAGCACAGAGCCTTAGAGAAGAAAAAGAGCTATGAAGGAATTTATTAAATACCATGATTTATTATAAAGCGAAATAATTAAAGGTGTGCATTTACAAAACAATTGAGAAAAAGAGCAATAGACCAAAGAATAGGTTCCAAGACTGATTATATACATATATGGATTATTGGTTTATGATAGGTGGCATCATTTCAATAATAGGTATTGACTCACTTGGCTATCCATATGGTAAAAGATGAAACTAAACCCTTTTATACCATACACAAAAATTCATTACAAGTACATTGTAAATATAAATATAAATGTAAAAAAAAGTTCAACAGTGAATCTTCCAGAAAATAATATAGAATGTTATTTTCAGGACATTAAGCTAGGCAAAGGTTTCTTAAACAGGACATAACACTATTTAAAAATAAAATGATACATTAAGTAGACTACATTAAAATTAAGAAGTTCTGCCACTAAAATAATTGAGAGTAAAATGAAAGCCACAGATTACAAGGTAATACTTGCCTTGTATAGCCAGCAAAGATCTCATACCTAGAATGTGTGAAGAACTCTTGTAGATCATTAGAAAAAGATAAATAACCAAAAGAAAAGTAGTCAGGAGACCTGAACAAACAATTCACGAAAGAGGATATGAAAATGGCCAAAAAATACATGAAAGATGACATTATATTACTCAGGGAAATAGAAATTAAATCCATAAAGAGATCTCACTTCAAATCCATCTGAATGAATAAAATAGAAAAGTGTGACTGTACTATGTATGAAGGAAGTGGAGCAATGGTAATGTTGCTGGTAGGAATGTTTATAAATTGGCACCACTCATTGAGAACATGATTTTTAATGTCTACTAAAACTAAACAGATTTATACCTTATGACCTAGTAATTCCACATCCACCAAATGACATACAAGACTGTTCATAACAGCATATATGTAGATAACATTATACAGTGACCATTCAGGCAATGAAAGTGAACTAACCATCGTTAACCCATTCAAATAAAATCCAAAAATAGATAAAACTATTCAATGGTGATAAAAAAAATATCGATTCTCTTCCAGGAGGAGGAATGGTTTAGAAATGGAGAGGATCCAAGAGAGGGGATTTTGGGGTGCTAATAGTGTTGTTTCTTGATCTGGTGGTGGTTATAAATGTGTTCACTTTGTGATAATTCATGAATTTATAATTTTTCATGTATGCCTGTTATACTTTCAATAATAAATTTTAAAAGATTTTTAAAATCCCCATTGCAAAATAACAACTATTACATGTTAGATACCATTTTGACCTATTTTGTCAATTTATTTTTGTTACGGTGTCTTATAGTTGTTGGGAAAGGCATTATGTGAGCTAGTATAATAGTACTTAGGAAAGTCAGACTCTTGACTTAAAAAGATGACTGGATAGGGCCTCCCCTGTGGTGCAGCTGTTGAGCGCTGGGCAGCGAGGCTGCCCCAGCCTCTGCAGCGCTGGGTTCCATCCCTGGCTGCTGGCGAGGGTCCCACATGGTACGCAGACCTCTCCTGCTGCGCCCACTGCTCTCCTCAGCAGTGTACTTCATCGGTCTGCCTGTTCTGCTCCCCGCTCTGGCTCTGGTGAATTCTCTCACCATCCCTGCTTCTGATTTTACCCACTTCTTGTATAAATAAATAAATAAATCTTCAAAAAAAAAATGACTGGATATTTCACTAAATATTTTGAGTTAGCAAGCATAGAGTCAAATAAAATTTTAAGAGGCACTGTATCAAATACTTTTTTAATATTTTAATTCCAAATTAATTGTTTTGTGGTTCTACTCAATGCCTTCATTTATCAATATATGTAAAATATAGTTTTAAAAAATGAAATGCAATTATAATTCACATATTGTGTTGTGATTTTTTATATCTAAATTATGTTTGAAATTATTTCATTTTTATAAAATAGGTATTAAGTTATTCATGAGTTTGAATATATAGGACTATTGAGCAAAAAGTAAGTTCCCTTCACCCATATATAGTTTCAGCATATTTGCCAATAGTGCATAAATAGTCACATCATTCTTTTAAATCTAAATAATATATCATTATTTTAAATGGTTGAATAATATTCTACCACAGGGAAATTTCATGATTTATTATTTAGCCTACCTCCTACTAATATTTAAATTGTATTAAAATTTAAATTGTTTAAGGTATTTAAATTGTTTCCAGATTTTTGTCATTACAAGAATATTACAATAAAAACGTGTATGTTTCATGTATTTTAGTGTGTGTGTGTATGTGTCTATCAATTACTGGGCCCAGATTATAAATACTTTTTTTTTTAAAAGATTTATTTACTTATTTATACAAGCACTGGGTATAGTCAGAAGCACGGGAGGGTGAGAGAATTCACCAGAGCCAGAGAGGAGAGCAGAACAGGCAGAGTGACGAAATACACTGCTGAGGGGAGCAGCGGGCAGCAGGAGAGGTCTGAGCGCCATGTGGTACCCTTGCCCGGCGGCTGGGGATCAAACAGGTGATGCAGAGGCTGCGGGCAGCTTCGCAGCCCAGCGCTCAACCGCTGCGCCATCGGGGAGGCCCTATAAATACTTTTTTATAATGAAAATAACTTAGACTTTATTTTTGTGAATAGTCCTTGAGAATTGGATATAGTATCATAGCAAGAAAACTAATTTCATCAAGAATTAATGTAAACTACCAAAATGGGAAACAAGCCTTTCAGGACAGACACAAATATTATATGTTTATCGTGTGAGATTTTAATGGACGGGAAGACATATGTCCCTGTCCCAGGCCTACAGCCAAAGGACCCATTTAAATGTCAAGTATAAAATAGACAAATTCAGCAAAACTACCACCAGTATTTATAAACAGAAATTATAATTAAGTCACCAATTTAAAATACTAGTAGTCAAGAAGATATTTCTTTTAGGACTCCTTAAAATTTCCTAAAAATTATAGAAGGATTAGGCCACATTTGCTCTGAAAAGCCATCATCCTTGAGTCATGCTGTTTTAAGAATTGAATTTTTCTTCTAATGGAGAATTGTTGATCATTTAAGTCTGTACCTACTGCTGATAGTGATTCTTAGTATAGCACCAGGAGAGAAGGCATCAGAACCTCTTAGAAATGATGAGTAGATACTGTGTATTAATATGCTCTAAAAATGTTGAATTTTAAAAAAGAATAACATTTCCTCTTTATAGCAGAAAATTAGTACTCTGGGTTTTGTTATTTATCTATATCATGCATCAAAATAAAATCTTTTGTTGCCATAATACAAGATTGTTGAGAAGAGGAGCTGGGTTAGGGTAGATGTTTGTATGTATTCATTACGTAGGATAAGTATCTTAACCCATTTTGCCTTTTTTTAGCATGCCTTACAATTTTTTGCTGAAAGCCAAATAAGAACTGAGGTAATATGAAGAGGTAATCAGGCTTTTAGTGTGAGATACTAGGTTATTCTGGGAACTGGACTGTGTTTAATGTTCGCTGTAGTGGTGCCAGAGGCTTAAGTTTCCTTCAGATTTTTTGGGGGGCTTGGGGGTTGTTTTATTGTTAGTCTGTCTTGGGTTTTTTTTTTTTCGCTCTCACCAGTTGTGTTTAGGTTTCCCTAAAAACCTTTCTTAAATAGAATCTGTATCTTGTGAATCTTTCAGTTATATACTGGAGCCATGTTGATGTGGTAATAAAATACTGGGGAGGGGAAGTGTTCTATAATCTCATGACTTATTTCTACCTCTTCTCATGGAAAACCATGCCACTATATTTCATAGCCATACCAATATGGTCTTTAAGGAAATGATAACAGTGTCCAGTCATACACATACAATGTGGTATCCAACCACAACAGTGCCCAAGGGATGTGGTGATAATGAGTTGATGGGCATGTGGAGCCAAAAGGAAATAAAATCATAAATAATAATGATTTCTCTTCATTCACTCTAATTTAATGAAAATTGACAAGACTTTTTAATGAGCGTATATGGGACAGCTCTTGTGAACTCTCAGAAACAATTGGGA